CATTCACTTATTCCTCCATACCCAAGCACCACACTTGCATATACAGAAACTACCCAAATCCCCCCAGGTCTCCGACCCTACGGATCGACAGGTAAAGAACTTGGGCACACCTGACAGCACGATGAACTGCCACCTCAACTTTACTCTAGTTCTATTTATATAATCTATATGATTGGTTAAGCATAAATTTAAGTGCGCTACTCGCATGACACATAAACTTTGCACTAGTTCATATATCATGATCATAACACAATAACCATACTCTAGTTCATAAGTATGACTATAAATCTAATATGAGAGTGTAACTTTGGAAGAATTCATAATTCTATTCATACCCAAAGGTCTCTTCTTCCAAGGAGCCAAGCTCTCCAAGGTAGCTTTGTCTTGCTCTAAAACAACTAAGAAAGTAAAGCTATTACTAAAGAATGGAATGAGTGAGAGGCAATGCTCAAGTGGTGTGTGTGTTGAGAGGGGGGCTACCCCCTTATTTATACACGGAGGTATGGCTGTGCTCTAGCTATATTTGGCGTGAAACCCCGGGATGCACCGCCATAGCACGAAGCCATGCTGCCGCCGTTCGAAGGAGAGGTGGAGAGGCACCAGCAGGGGGCTGACCGCCCCCTAGGACCGGACGCCCCTTGACTGTGCCGCCTCACCACCGCCTTCGCGTGGCAAGCCATGGTTTTGCCCTGGATCCTTGCTCCGTGGGGTTTTGCCCAATTGGACTTGGTTTGGTGGGCGTCTCCTTTGATCCTTTGCGCAAATCAGTGTCAGAAAGCAACTTTAGGTAATTTATTCCATGTATTTGTGTTTATGACCTGCAAAATAATGTTCTCCAAATACATGTGGAACTTGGTTAATAGTAAAAGCATATGTGATCAAGTTTGCTAATCTCTCTTCTTTTGTTGCTTAATTGGCGATTGAATTTGATCGGTAATGACCGCCAACACTCACCGCGACATCAGACGCAGACTCGATGACCTCCGAACTATCCATGGGCCTCGCTGTCTTCTTCACCCGAGCCATAAACCTACAATACACAAACCAAATCAACAACCACAAAAACATAAAAGATAGGACAAAACAATACAACATAACCAACCAATAACGCACCTCAATGAAAACGACGAGGCAAAGGAGAACAAGCGAAGGGCAAAAACAGGCGAACAGGATAACTTTCGCGACAACCGAACCCTCGCTCAGCAAAACCACCGACAGCAAGCAGGCAAGAAATCAGCACGCACAACAACAAAAACCCTATCCACAGCTATTTATATATAGACACGAAGGACCCCCACAGTAGGAAAGAAACTGGGGCAATCCCCGCACATCTAGGAACCACCCATCCAAAAACCACAAACGGCAAACAGCCTACATAACCCAAAAACATAACTAGTAACCAGCACCATGCCCACTTCACAAAAACTAAGGGCCTAGCTTCGGTCAAGCTCGATAGGGGCGTCGCTGCGCCGGGGCCGCTGCGTGTGCCCCTACCCCCTATTAAGCGTTGCTCCAACCCATCACGCTGGGCCCGACCATCGAGGGGCTACTGTTGGGGGGAGATGCCCCCGACACAGCTCCGCCCCTTCACACTCGATTCGAAGCTACCTTGGGTTTCATAGCCCTCGTCGGGGTTGTGAACCTCGAGGTGGAGGACCGCATGCCCTCTCACCCTCTCTTTCTTTAAGTTTGCCAGGTCCGTCGAGCAGAGGTCAGCAAGCTCCGAGCGAGGTTCGGCGCGGCGACTCTGAAGCAGGCACCACCGCCTCCGCCAACGCAGGGGGCGCGAAGATCAGCGAATCCGGGAAGATACGTGGAAAGGAATCTTCGGGGCGGCTCCGCCGCCCCCACCCTCGCAGAGGGCACGAGGACCCTCGCCCGTTCTAGAGTAGGGGCGCGCCCATCAACAGCTGTCCGCGGGAGTGGTTAGCTTAGGATGAGAGTTTACCGTTGTACCCTTGGCTCTGTGTCTAAACATGCCAGCGGAGTATGGCCCCCAATGTAATTTCCCGGGCGGCCGGGCATGGTCAATAAATGCCCAGTGCGCCGATGTAAGAATGTGTGATTGTTTTTCCGGATAAATTAATGGACAATTAATCCGCATTTTCTCATACACAGTTACCTTCGCCGGCCTCCCCTCAGCGGCCCACACCTCTCACTGTGGGAAACCCTCGTCCTCTCCCCCGTGCTCCCTAGCGAGGGCGAGTGGCCAAGAGTGACCCCACACCCACATCGGTCGTTATGAAAAAAAAGCTACAAACTAACCCCTGTGTATTCAAAATGCCCATATATTTATTATATAATATAATAAATTTATGCCTTCTATTTTGTATTAAAGTTTTCAATCTCAGCATTTATAAATAAATAAAAATGTCTCCCATATCTATTTACAAATACCAATAGAATATATTAAAATAATCCAATGTCATAAAAGTACGCTATATGTATTTCTAAACTACACACTTCAACGCTCACTATGTTCCGTCGTATACAGCAAGTAAACATATATATACGTTTAGGATAAATATCTTTTTAATAGCTTACCAAAACCACATCGCAATTACACTTAAAACTTATTTAAATATAATAATAGACCATGACAATAAAATTCGTAGGTTGTTATTTAAATAAGTTCATACTTCTTCACTTAAACATTATATCAAATCAATATTCATAATAATTTAATTTGAGGCTCTCTCTCTCTCTCTCTCTATATATATATATATATATATATATATATATATATATATATATATAATACTACTACAAATATAAAAAATTGATATAACAAATTCAACATCTGGAGTGCCGCAATGCAAGCTAAAGTGACAATATAGACCATTGTAATAACTAAGAAGGCAGCCTAGGACCTAATGCCTTTTCTCAAATAAATTAAAAGAAAATTTTGAACAAAAGATACAATAACCATTAGAGATTTAACTTACAATGTGGTTAAAAATTGCAACAACTAGATTAAAAGTTAAAAGGTAAAATATTGATTTATGATTTATAGAAAGATGTGACAAGAACTTATATAACCTAATTTAGATTTCAACTAAATACATATCATAAAATTCTTCTCACAAAAAAAAGTAAGGCCATCAGATTGGTATACTCTAATACCATTCATAATAATAGCCAATAGGATCTATGCTATTTTCTAATAATGACTAACCTCTGTGATTGTGTAAAACAGTTAAAGAACCCCATGAATCTCAATGTAAATTACACACTACTAAAAACATGATCTAAAGTGAACCTAAATATAATGCTAATTACCGACCTACTATTAGATAGATAATCTATCATAACCACTTAAATCTGAATCTAAATTACCACTTTTTCATTTATTTAAAAGACTAAAAGATCTCCTCAAATCTACATCTAAGTTATCATCTTCTGTTACAACAAATATTTAAATTACTATAAAGCACATGTTTCTATGTTACCCAATTCTATTAATATTAATATATTCAAATTTTATTGTTGTAAATATACATATTATGGCATCATACATATCAAGTACACATGCATGCTTGAGCGATAATATATATGTTCTATTTTTACCAACCCTGAAAAATATTTTTTAACAACTCATACTAATGGTACTAACAATTATTTAAAACTATATTACTAACAAATAATTAATATACATTTTTACTTTAGATATGTTACTCCTTCCATTGAAAATTATAAGTCTTTCTTACTTCTCTAGATACATAATAAAACTATATATCTAGACACAATGTAGATCTAAATGTATAGCAAAGCTTACCTAGAAAAGTCTGAATAACTTATAACTTGGAATGGAAGGTGTTCATTTTAACTGAAATGTTATCTATATTGGTAGTATAACCATCACTGCACATATAATTTCTTAATAACTAAATTTAAATGCATCTTGAGGAGCGGGGGTAAAGCAGACCATATGTGACTGTATCTTCCTAATCGTTGGAATTACTTTAGAGTAAACAATTATTATATGACTTAAATATTCTCTCTAGGTTAGCACCATTCTCATGCTTCAAGCTCTACCATTGATTTTGAGTGATATGGTGCACGTTTTAAATGACTCTTTATGTCATTTTAATAGTTAAGAGTGCAATTTATGACCTAAAATTCTTATTTTCAAAAGTACAAAAGAAGAGTTAATAAACATACAATAAGAATTTTAACTTAGCTTGAGAACAAAAAATATGTCATAGTTAATAAGATTAAATATTAAAATCAAAATTTTAGATTTATGGCATAAAAAGATATGGGCTGCAATAAGAGCCACTATAGTTTAAGCTTTTCTTTTTGAAGTTAATGTTTCAACTAAATTCATATTCAAGTTACACAGGTGACATGAAAACAGAAAAAGCAATGGATATAGATGGAAAAACATATAGATTAGTAATTGATACATCTATCACAATTAGAGTTATAGAGACGACGTTCGCTGGTCTGGAAGTTCCAGACCAGCCGGCTGGTTCCCCTCACATTTTACTGTTCATCAAACCAGCCGAACAGTGTTTCTCTCTCACACAACCAGCTAGTTTCAGCCAAGTTTCAGACCAGCGAACGGGGCCATTATGTCAGTTGAGTCTGTTGTGTTGGAAAATGAACAAATACAAAACGTTCAATTTAATATTAGTAATTTAATTTAGATTCATGACATCAGAATTTAATATGGGCCACAACAAATGCCGGTCATAGTTTAAGCTAATGTTTAGTAATTGAAACAATTATCACGAATCGATAAAGGCATTATCATAGTTTGTGTTAGAAAATTAACCAAGTCTAAAAACATGCAATTAAATTTTAGTATTTTTATTAGTTAGAGGTATATTAAATATTAACTAATAATTATGTGTTCTAAAACTCTGCCCCGTGCAAGAGCACGGGTTGATGGACTAGTGTAAATAAAATTAGTTTAGGATAAAGTAAAATAACAGTTTCTAAATGGATAGAGACGTAACACAAGCAGAAACTATATGTACATGTACATCTTAACTTTTTTATTCTTTGCTATCAGAATAGAAGACTTTAAACCTAATCTGTTATAAAAAAAATAGAGTGACCCACTTAAGAGTTAACCAGTTAAGAGGAAAGGGAACACTTAAATCATGTAAAAACTGTTTACTAAATTCTCTTTCCGAGTCCCAACACGTGCATTTGGTATGTGATACCAGAAAAATGATTAACAAAATAAACAATATTAATTCCACATCATTTACCTGGTTGGCGAAGCCCAGGCCAACGCCGAGCAGCGCCCTGCCGAGGATGGCCATGAACACGTTGCCAGTGCCGCAGCTGACCGCGGCGCCCACGAGGTACGCGACGCCGCCGAGGATCATGGACGGGCGGCACCCGTGCCGCGTCGTGAGCCACGACACGAGGAGCACTGCGGTGAGGAGCCCGGTGATGTAGAGCGACGGCGTGAAGAGCGTCAGCAGCTGGCTGTCAGACTTGCAGTAGGTACACGTCCGAGAAAACTCCTGCAAGAATGCGTCCATGGACAACACGCCGCCCGCCGTGCTGATGTCGTAGCCGAAGATGCCGCCGCACCATGGCCGCTGTGACGCAGGAGTCAGGACAGCGCCACGAACGTGGTGACCCTGCAGCCGTACTGCCGTGCGTCCTCACCACCTTTGGGGCCGACGGCCATGGTCGGGCAGGGTTAGTGAGCTAGCTAGTGTGAACTCGATCTGTGTTCAGCACATGGTGAGCGCGCACTGTGCGACTGTCCTCTCGTGCTGACTTGCTGCTCTTATGGCTCCAAGATGCTCGCTGCGACCAACTCCCGCATGCGTGACGACCCAGGAAAAAGAGGAGCGTGCAGTTGCTGGGCTTGCACCCGTCCTTTCTGCGGGACAGCGCATGGGAACATGTGGGGCCACTCGTTCGGCTTGGGGTGCATGCGGGACGGAGCAGCGCATGGGATCGTGTACACGGCCAGTCGGCCACTCGTTCGGCGTGGGGTGCATGCGGGGCGGACAGCGCATGGAATCGCGTGTAGCCACTCTGGTGTTGGGTACATGTGGTGTGTGAGGGCGGTGCATGCACTGTGACCACAGAGAGAGAAGGCTGGCCTAGGGAGTTTGTAAGAGGAGCACGGGCCTGCATCTACAGGCGCTGTTTTGCTGCTCTCGTGACGGTTGATCGTTGGCACTAAGTGCTGTCCTAAATTTTTCTGTCACTCTATGACATCGAGCTCCATATGTTTTATGTGTTTCAGATATATGTTCTATATGTTTTATCTGGACATTGCATGTGTTTTATCTGGATGTTGCTTATGGTTCATTTGGATGTTGCATATGTTGCAATGGCTATACATATATGTTGCAAGTGTATGTTTCGTCTGTTTCAGATGTACTCCCTCCATCCACAAAAGAAAGCAATTCTCACATTTCGAGGAGTTAAACAGTTTAAACTTTGACTAAAATTATATGAAAAAAGTACTAACACTGGTGAGACAAAATAAGTACCACTTAGATTAGTTATTGTAACACCCTAAAATTTGCCTCTTTTGAAAATAGGTTTAAAATGATTTATTTCTGAATTTTGTGCTTATGAAATATAGGAAAATAATTTTTTTCATTAAATTAAAATTCATCATAAGCTAACAACATGTTTGAGCATACATGCCCTTGCATTTGATTTATTTGGTTGAGTGATTTTGATTGAAAAGTTAAAATGGTTTAAATTGCTTCTGCAAATGAAATAAAAAATGGCTTTGAAGTAAAAGGAAAGAAAGAAAAGAGAATGAGAAAATAAAAGAATTTAAAAAAAGTTGTCATATTTATTTTTGAAAGCCTACCGAAATTGCGGTTTTATTTGAGTTGAAAATGTATATTTGGAAACATATTGGAATTTGATTTGCTTTACATTTGAATTTGGTTTTTAAAACAAATTAGAAAAGGATTTGGAAAAAAAGAAAACCCTCTCTCCTCCCCTCTCCCCCTTTCGGCCTACATGGCCCAGCTTGCTTTTTCCCACCGGCATGTTCTCCTCCCACTGGCCCACCTTCTACCCTCTCTTTCTCCCTTGTCCACCCCTGGCCCAATCCGCGCGGCCCATTCCTATCCCGCGTGGCTCGCTTCCCGCGCGGCCTTGCTTTCTAGCGCTGGCCCGCCTAACTCCCACCCACGCCCACTCTTTCCCCTCCGCACGGCCAAGCAAGCAGGCAGCCCAGTTTCCCCGTCGCGCCGCGCGTCTCCTCTTTCCTCCCCTTTCCCGCTGACAGCTCGGCCCCACCCGTTAGTCGTCTTCCACCTTGTGACGTAGCCACGTCGGACTCTGTCGCTGCCAATGGAGGTCGTGTTCGTGCCATTTTCGACTCCTCCTTCGCCTTGCGCCCTACGCTTCCCGGCCCCATATAAGCCGAGCCCACACCGCGTCGTGCCGCCTACCCCGCGCCCGATCTCGCACTACCTCGCCTAGAGCTAGCCCTGCGCCGCCGTCCACCATCGCCCCGCCAAACCGCACGTTGCCGTCCTCTCCACGCATCCACGGATCCACTCCCGTCCGCGTGAAGCAACTAGGTGAGCTCGCCTCAACCTCCTCTTTCACCCCGTGACTTTTTCGTTGAAAACCATGGCCCGTAGGCTCCTCCCCAAGATCACCGCCGTGCCGGCCATGGCGCCACCACCGTCAAACCTCACCGCCGGCCTCGCCAGTCCTCTCCCATCAGCCGCTTCAATTCCGTCCATCCGATTCAAGATCAAGAGCCAGGATTAGATCGTACCCCTTCGCGTGGCCATCTTGCTTAAGAGCCCCTCGGTTTCTTCAAAATAGAACCCGTGGTCCAAAGCGTAATCACATATTATGTTTCCTTATTTGGAAAGCGTAGTTTCTTCAGTTTAGATCTAAAATACGTTGTCACTTATTTACAGATTTGCCACTGATTTTGTTTTACTAATAACTTCTCCATTTTAACTCCGATTTGACCCATTCAACTTGTGTTAGGTTCGTAATTTCATAATCTACATGTTTATACTACTGTTAGATATGTTTTCAACTTTTAAAATTTGAGGTTAGATTTAATCTATTATTTTATTAAAGGAAATCTTGTTAAATTTATATCTTCTACGTTTTAGCTCTTATTTGACATGTTCAAGTTGCGTTAGATTTATTGCAACAAGATCTAGGCATTGGTATCAATGTTTATCATGTCACTATTTCTGGAATTTCATGGTTTAAATTCTAATTTGAATAATAATTATGCAACTAGATTTTATAAATAAAATATGATTTGTTTTACTTTAGTTTTATAAATCAAATCTGAATTTGACTTAATTCAATTTATAATATTTACAAAATATCTTATGTATATGAATTTATATAGTCAAAATAAATGAAGCCTATATTTTTCTTTTTCACGGATAAAGCAAATTTATCGGTAGATGTATCTTTTTCACTGTAGCTCCGATTAGAGTGCTTTTTGTGTCTGTGTGTTCGTAGTGAGACGTAGATTCGTTTTACAAACTTTTCATCTTGATTTTATGTTTGGTGTACTATTCTAATTTAGATCTATTGTTTGCTTCGTGTATAATTGCATGGATGCTTGTGTGGTGCATTATGATCATATCTAGTCGGTGAGCTTTACGTGTTGATCAAGAAGTTCCATTGAAGGTTTGGACTAGAAGAAGGATCTTAGTCTAAGGCAAGTATAGCATGGGATCATCCTTGTTGTCCTATACACCTTTAATCATTTAATTCATACTGCATGTGTCTACCTTGACTACCACTAAGGATATCCTAGTCTTTTGTACTCATACCTTGTCACTTATGGGGTATTGCATTGGGTAGTATGATGCTAGTGCTCAACTACAACCATGATCTTGTAACTTAACTAATGGTATATGCAATAAACATTAAAAGATGCTTTTTAGCAATATGGAACAAGGGGGCAAGAGTATTGGACTGTTTTTATGGTGCTCTAGATTCCTCTCTCTAAGGACTTATCTGTAAGTGATCATCTGGAACTTACAGTATAACCATGATGACTACATGGCTCTGGTCTTAGTCTAGTACCTTGCTCTTTCTAGTTTGTAGCAATTTACTGAAAGGGCAAGAGGGGCATACTAGGCTGGGTATGGGCCTCATCCCCAGGGTGTGTACTATGCTATGTGTATAAGTGCCACTTCTGGAGATGACTCCATAACACTTGGGAGATGGAATCCTTAGCGGTTGCTCCTTATTAGAATGGCTAGGGAAAAGCTTCGTAGTGTACCCTGCCTGCTCACCTTGGAAGTGTTTTGGGAGTTGCAAACCCGGGCATATAGGTATCATGACTCATGATGAAAGTGTACAACCTCTGCAGAGTGTAAAACTGGTATATCAGCCGTGCTCACGGTCACGAGTGGCCTTGGAACCCTTACGGAATAGATGATGAACACTGATGATACTGATGATAAAGATGCTCACTAATGATTATTGTTTATGCTATTCATTATTCATGTTTACCTGATTATGTGTTTATGGGCTTGTGATAAACTTGTTGCCACCCAATTGCTAAAAGATGACTCATTAAAAGCTAATCGCTGTTAAACCAGTGTCAGCCTTTTGAGCCTCATGAACCCCATGTTATATTTGTTGAGTACGATATGTACTTACGCTTGCTTTACTTTTTAAATCTTTAGAAAAATCCCAGATGGGTACCAGATTGCTAGAGTTTGGAGGAATTAGGCTTGTGATTAACCAGTCAGTTGTCCCTGTGGAATTTAGAGTCTCCACCCGAAGATCGGAGTTGTCTTTCCGCTGCTTGCTATCTAAGGTTAGATTCTTTATACTAAGTACGTTATATATTGAGCATTGTCTATTGATATTACCCTTATTTGTAGCTATATATGAGATTTGACTTCCTAGGCTCACATATGGTGTGTATCTGGTTTTGTTCTTAAAACCGGGTGCTACAGTTATCGAATATATTTTCATAATAACTTTATTTGAAGACATAAATGCTAATACTATTTACTATAAACTTGATCAAACTTCAATTAGTTTGACCGGCAAGGTTCCCATAATTATATTCTTTTGTAAACGGAGGTAGTACGTTGCAAGTGTTTTATTTAGACTAGGTAGTGTGCCCGTGCGTTGTTACGGGATAACTAAACTTTTGTACTAAAAATACACGGATCTTATAATAAGATAACAATAAGTGAAATAAAATACCGACTTAAGTGGTATTTAAATCAAAAATAAACTTCATGAAATTAACATAGTCACGGAGAGCGCAGCATCGTAGGCTCACCAACTCTACCGTATAGACCTTTCCGTGCGTTGCAACAGGAACAAATAATGCCCTGATAATTTGAGCATGAACGTGTTGTATTGTTACAAAAAATAGTAATGCGAGCGTGATGGTTGGAATATCAATATTACAAATTGAATTTTGTGCATGGCTAAAATTCTCAGTGATGGTTTGCAATCATCGCAATATGCATTTATAGTATTGTACATTTGTGCATACGCACATAAAAGTTCATATCATCATAACAAGATTAATTGATTCATCAACCTTTTAGAACTAACCATCTCTTTGAATTATCAGTTTGCTTCGTACAAGACTTGTATACCAAGGCCACCCTCCTTCATATTTAATGTTTGACTGTTATAAAAAAACGATTCTCTAAGTGTGATGAGGGAGTCATTCCACTCTTGCTA